GGGGCGCCGCCGGGCCAGCCCCAATGTGTATGTCTTTAAAGGTGAAGTGAGTCTCTTGAAGACAACATACAGTTGGGTCTAGTTTTTATTCCAATTTGTCAGTCTGTGTCTTCTGAGTCAGGAGTTTAATCCATTTACATTTAGGTTATTGACAGGTATTGTCTTATTCCTAGCATTTTATTGCTTTTTGTTTAGATATTTTAAATATCTTTTGTTCCTTTAGTCCCCTTTTATTATTCATCTTCAATGTCTGTCTGTTTTGAGAGGTGGTAAGATTTAGTTTCTTTCTCTTTCTCATTTGCATTTTTGTTTTACCAGTGGATTTTGTTCTTTTTCATGTATTCATGATAGTGATTATCATTTTTCAGATTCCAGATGTATTACTCCCTTGAGAATTTCTTGCAGGGCTGGTTGTGTGGTGGTGAGCTCCTACAGTTTTTGTTTGTGTGGGAAATACACTGTTTTCCCCTCATTTCTAAAGAACATCCTTGCTAGGTATAGTATTCTTCACTGACAATTTTTTTTCTTTTAGTATTTTTAATATATCATCCCATCTTCTTTTGGTCTGTCAAGTCTCAGCTGAGAAGTGCTATTAGTCTGATGGGGGAATCTCTTATAGGTGACTTGACACTTTTTTCTTGCTGCTTTTAGAATTCTCCTTTTGTTTTAGAGCTTTGCCAGTTTGATTATAATGTGTCTCGGAGAGGATCTTTTTGGATTGAATCTGATTGGGGCTCTTTGAGCTTCCTGGATCTGAAAGTCCATGACTCTCCCTATACCTGGGAAGTTTTCCATTATTATTTCATTGAATAGGTTTTCAAAGCCTTTTCCTTTCACCTCCCCTTCAGGAATACCCATGAGTCTGATTTTTTTGTGCTTACAGTTGTCTGCTAGCTTTTTTTGCTTTTTTTTTTTTTTTTTTTTTTTTTTTTTTATGTCCACCAGAGTTATTTCAAGAAGACCATCGAGATTGGAAATTCTTTCTTCTGCTTACGCTGACCTGCAGCTTAAGTCAAGCTCTTGGTTGTGTTTTTTATTTCATTGAATAGGTTTTCAAAGCCTTTTCCTTTCACCTCCCCTTCTGGAATACCCATGAGTCTGATGTTTATGTGCTTACAGTTGTCTGCTAGCTTTTTTTGC